CATGAGCTCTGTTACTCTTCACTCTCGTGTAGGCCATGGTGGATTTGAACTAACAGAGTTTCATCTACCTCTAAATCCTGAGTCCTGGGATTAAAGGTGTGTGCCACCACTGCCTGATCTCTATAGCTTGAGGCTGACTTTGCTTTCTGAATCATCAGGCAAGCTTTAATAAATCATAAATGGTATATCACCACAGTCACCAGTGGCAATAAAATTCATGATTTATTAATCAAAACTGGCCAATATCATACACAAACTGTGATACTTTGCCAACAGGAGGATCTGTAAACAAGAATTCCTGGGAAAGAGCTATGTCAGCAGAGGCTCATTGACTGATTGGTACACCATCAGTGATGTGGAGAGGTTGGAAAGTTGCAGCTCCACAGCCTAATTATGATTTATCTTGGGCTAACTTTAGCCTCCTAAGCAGCCATTCCTTGCCCATCCCTGTCTCAGACCTAACATCCTGTGACTAACAGATAAGCATCCTCTGGAATGTATGCACAGACCTCTTAGTGTCCACCAATCAAGTGTGCTGTCAGAATACATCTGAGGCCTATAGCAGCTTTCTCTGCTTTGCTGTAACCCATCCCTACCAGCTGTACCCACCAATGTATAAGAAAAGTACATGGCTTTCATTATTCTGTTACTATGACTAGTTCATGAAATTGCTACCTCACTGTAACACTGTGGAGAAACTGAAGTCTGTGTTCCCAGGCCAATGGCCACTCATATTTAGTTCCAGGATAAACTATCTCTTTCATTCTTTTGAGGTGGGAGCTGCTTTTTCATCAGCAACCAGAGCTCATATTTCCTGTTAGTAATCCCAATAAAAATTCATTAGTTTACCAAGCTAGAGTTCAGTGTGCTTTGGTCTATTCTGTATTCCTTTTATAGGCTGAGTAGATGTGTGTTGCCCATCCCCAAGGAAAGTTTGTCACAGAACAGCCTTGAGATTGTAATGTTCTTGCCTCAGCCTAGATCAGAACTGAAAGATACCTATATTCATCTAACTGAATTTTAGCAAAGACGCTAAGGATATGTATCCAAGTCAGGCATGGTTGCTCATGCCTGCAATCCCAGTGCTCAGGCTGCAGAGGCATGAGGATCTCAGCAAGTGTGAGGCCAGCCTACTCTACATAGTGAGTTCCATGACAACACAGTCTGCAGAGACCACATCGTAGGAAACAAACAAGCAAGGAAATACCAACAAAAGAACATGCATTGAAGGAAGGGCAGTCTTTTGATAAATGGTTTAGGAAAGTCAGTTATTCACTGGGAGGAGCTTGAAATTTAGACCCCTCTCTCTCATTGGCTGCAAAATCAACTCAAAAATACCTTAAAGTTTTAAGCATAAAAACCTGAAAATAAGAGACTTCTAGGAAAAACCATAACAGGAGAAATACTTCAGAACAATGGAGTGGGAAGGATTTTTTAACAAGCAGAAGAAACAAAAAAATAGACAGATGGGATTATGGCAAACTAAAAATTTCCTGCCAAAAAACACAAGAGAAAATCGACAGGATCCAGTGACTGCCCACAAGATGGATGAGAATATCTGCAAAGCAGCGTACATCTGACAATCCAGATGACATAATGCATTTCAAAAGCTCAAGAGCCAAGAAACCAAGTAATTCGATTTAAAAGTTGGCAGTAGATCTAAACAGGCATTTTGCAAGAGGGTACATTCAAACGGGAACAAGTATATGAGAAATGACCAATATTGCTAATCATCAGGGAAATGCAAATAAAAACCACAGTGAGATACCCTCTCATCCTGGTATGCATAGGTGTTGCTGAAAGGTTTACAGATAACCATTGACAGTGAGGTGAAGGTAAGGGGGTCCCTCCATACCCTGCATGGAAATAACGATGCACAATCATGGAAAATACCAGAGAGATTCCTCCAAAGTTAAAGAGGACTACTAAATGATTCAGTGGCCCTGCTATAGGAAATATTCACAATAAATACAATCAGTACTTCAAACAGACATTCATACTTCCATGTTACTATGGCACAATTAATTAACAGTCAGGAAATGGAAACAGTCTACATATCCATAACTGATCGATGGAGAGAGGAAATGGGGTGCATATACACAATCAAATTCTAGCACTAGAAAAGAAAATGAAATCCTCCTATGGCAGCAACAGGTAAAGACCTGGAGGCAATTATGTTATGTGAAATAAGCCAGACACAGAATGGCAGGTTCCACATCACCTTGCTTAACCTCTGAAATCAAGAGTTGATCACTACAAATTCAGAATAGTATAAGTTTCCAAAGTAGTGATGAAAGAGGAAATGGGGAAAGGTTCTAAATACATATAAAAGTATAATTTGGTAGGACCAAGAAATCCTAATGTGCTTTAACACAAGTGAGTTCAGATCAGAACAACTTTATACAAGTCTAAAGGCTACAAGAGTGCTGGGAACTTAGCACAAGAGAAAGGGGCTTGCCTGGCATGCAGGAGCCACTGCAGCTAACCTTGGCACTACAAAAACAATAAGCATAAGTTAAAAAAAAAGCCAAAAGGGGGTACTATGAAAATTTCACCATAAATGAAAAATGTTTAAAGAAATAAGTGTTTCACCTAATTTTAACATCGTGCAGTATATGTGTTTGTCACTTTTCATTTCTGTGGTACATCTCTAACAGGAAGGAATTTCCTAGATTCATGGTTTCAGATGAGATGCAGTTCATCCTGGTAAAAAGGCATGGCTGTGTGAGCCTGAGGCAGCTGGTCACATGGTGTCCACAGTCAGGAAGCAGAGGGAGATGAATGCTGGAATTCAGTTCATTCCTTCTTTCCCCACTTTTGGTTGGTTGGTTGGTTGGTTGATTTTTCGAGACAGGGTTTCTCTGTAGCTTTGGAGCCTGTCCTGGAACTAGCTCTGTAGACCAGGCTGGCCTGGAACTCACAGAGATCCACCTGCCTCTGCCTCCTAAGTGCTGAGATCAAAGGCATGCACCACCAAAACTCAGCTCCCACTTTTTATTAAGTTCAAAGCCCCTGCCAAGCTAGGTCTTCCCTCAGTCTCACCTCTCTGGGAACACACTCAGAAGTGTGGCTCCTGGGTGGTTACAAATACAGTCAAGTTGGCAGAGAAGATGATCCCTCACCGTCTGTACCAAAACATCACATGGCTTCCCATTAATATGTTCATCGTTATGGTTTGCATCAGTTAATAAATGAATAACAAATTAAAATTAAAAACCAATTAGACTTTTGGTCGGGCAGTGGTGGCAGCACTCAGGAGGCAGAGGCAGGGGAATCTCTGTGAGTTAAAGAACAGCCTGGTCTACAAGAGCTAGTTCCAGGACAGCCTCCAAAACCACAGAGAAACCATGTCTCAAAAAACCAAGAAAAAAAACAATTAGACTTTTAATCTAGGATCAAGGTGTTATATAATGTTATTATATTATAAATTTAATGAGAACTTTCTAATATAATCTGCATCTAACTCTACACTAAAGGACTCATTATCAGATTCTTATTATGAAGGCTTATTTGTAACAGCCTGTAAAGTGAATTTGTTGTAACTACCACTGAAGCTTCCAGAGACAAGCAGCCCTTTCATCCCAGCGAGGCTTCCTTATCATCTCCTCCAGGGTTCTAAGAATCATCAGTGCCAACCTGTCTTCGATTTGAAGGATACCAACAACTGGAAATGTCGGAATTATCTGTCATTCAGCAGAGTGGATCAATAGCTCTTTGTGCTTGGATGGCAACTCTGCGGGGCTCACGTCCTTACAATTAGCTTAGGATAAAATAATTGAAAATCAATCAGCCCAATATTGGTTCAGTGCAAACGGAATGCAGACTACAGTTCCAGATGTGATCTGTGATGTTCAAGCAATAAACTCAAGGCAGACTTTAACCCAAACATATTTCCTCCACAAACATATTCAGAACAGCTACTACGTTGAGGGACCCACGCCACGTGGCAAAGGGGACACAAAGGTAAAGCATTTTGATTTACCCTCAAATTACTTACAGTTTAATACATAAGAAAGACTTGTAGACAAGACAAGTTTACTATTTAAAAAGGAAAGACACTAGGGAATGAATTTTCCCCTCCTCATTCATTACGTTCATCCAGCCCCATGTCACCCTTGCTTGTCCACCCACAGTTCTAAAACACTTCTCTCCACTTCCTTCCCAGATGTGGTCTGAACACCTCTTCCCAAGGCCATAAAACTTCTGAAATAAACAATGAAGAAGTAAGAAAACGAAAACTGGACAGGCCTTTAATCCCAGCACTCAGGAGGCAGAGGCAGATGGATCTCTGAGTTTCGAGGCCAGCCTGGTCTAGAGAGAGAGTTTCAGTACAGCCAGAGATACACAGAGAAACCCTGTCTCAGAAAACCAAAGGAAGAGAAGGAGGAGGGGGAGCAGGAGAAGAAAACAAGCATAGACAAAATAGTCATGAAAAATAAGATTTAATAGTGCACACATAAGAAGATGCCATGATGAGGTTCAAAACTTTGCAAGCATAACCTAAAAACTTAATAAAACAAGTTTTAAAGATACAGAAGATCACATGAAGAGGGTTTTTTATTTTATGTTCAGCCACTGCTTCTCCTTATTGTCTAACCTAATGGTCTTCAAGGTCATAACTGTGGACCAGCAATGAGGGCAGAGGGTGGGGGGGTAAGGAGTTCACCAGACCCAAGATAAAGATAAATAGGTGTTTTATTGGAGAACAACATACACAGATAAGAGTAAATAACTGCTGGTCATTCCTGCTCCAGAAAATGTAGTCTCTACCCTTCCAGTGCTCTCTGCGACCCAAGAGATCCTGAGCCCACAGCTATTCTACCTTAAAGTGATCACATGTCAGCACCTGAAACCACACCCAAAGAGTGTGGCTACTTTTTCAGATTCACGGGCAAGGCCAGATGCCACTCCATGGCAATCCCCAATTTTGTTTCCAGATTACTCTATTACCAGTTTTAAAACAGTATCAAGAAATTTTGTTTTATCCAAAACATTGCTTTGGGGTGTGGCTTCTCTGTTTACAACCCACCCAAGAAGAATCTGGGGCCATATTAATGAGGGACACAGCACCATGTCCTCTCCATATGAAGATCCCCTACATGTGAAAAGCAAACAAACAAACACATCAAAACAACAGCAACAACAAAGCATGTTTTTATATTTTTTCCTTATGAAATATTCCATTGTCCTTTGATTGATTGACTTTATCCATGAAAACTTACATTGGTAATCTAAAAAATATTCTGTAACAGTCCCCACAAAACCGATGCCATGTTGGAAGTGCCAAGGCACCATTCTGACCTAAGAACCCAGCTCATAGACCCCAAAACCGCCTAAACAAGAACAAAGACCTAGTCCATCATAGCTCAAGTTCATAGTTCTGGAAAAGTCCCTAAATGTACTAACCTTGCTTTTTTTTTTTTTTTTTTTTTTTTTTTTTTTGGCTTTTGTAACCCTGCTTATTGCTGATAACTGTTCTTGCCAATTGAAGTGAGCCAGGATGTGGCTTTTGTGCCTAAATGCCAAGAACAGTAAGGCTTGTAGCTACATGATTTGGGTAAGCTCCCTAGTTAGCCTGCCAGCTGGTGAATAAAAACTTTCTATTGGTTTTGAGTACATGTGTTCTCTGAAGGATTTACCTCACAACAGTATGCAGTTTTATTTTATGTGTATGGGTGTTTTGCCTGCTTGTATATCTGTGTACCACCTGCATGCAGTGCCTTCAAAGGCCAGAAAAAGGTATCAGATACTCCAGAACTGGAGTTACATACGGTTGTTAGGCACCATGTGAGAGCTAGGAATTGAATCTTTCGTCTTTCGAAAGAGTGCTTATCCGCTGAGCCATCTCACCAGCCCCACATGGATAATTTTGCAGGACAGTTAAGCTCTTTCATCTACCATATGTTTTATTTTGGCCAGATACCTGTGGGCTGGGAATGGCTCTAGTGGTTAAGAACACATTGCTTTTGCAGAAGATCCAAGTGGCACCCTTGTCAAGTCAGCTCACAAATGCCTATGACTCAAATTTTGTGTGATAGGATGCCCTCTTGTGGCCTTTGCAGATAAAACACACACAGACATAATTAGAAACAAAAATAAATAAATAAGAAGAAGAAAATAAATAAGTAAAAATTAGAAGCATACAAAATAAAATTATTTCACTAGATACTTGGTTATTTTAGCCATACGCCAATCATTAAATAATGCAGTACCCAAACAGGTATCCTCTGAACTACTGTTTTCTAGTTTCAAATGTTGCTCTAGGGGCTGGAGAGATGGCTCCGTGGTTTGAGCAATTGCTGTTCTTGCAGAGGAATAGTTTTGTGCCTAGTCTTCACATGGCATCTTAAAATCATCCATAATTCCAGTTTCCAGAGATTCTATACCCTCTTCTGGTCTCCAGGGACACCAGGCATAAATGCAGAAGTGCTCATACACATAAAAATTTTTATTTAAAAAGTTACTCTGGCTACTACTTAAATATGTGTGTGTGTGTGTGTGTGTGTGTGTGTGTGTTACCCATTTTGAGTTTCTGGTAAGTACAAGCTATAATTCTGTTTTTGAAACATTTCCTTGTGTGGTAGTTTGAATGAGACTGATACCAATGTATGTTTGAATACTTGATCCCTAGTTGTTGAAACTGGTAAGGATTGGGAAATGTGAGATTGTTGGAAGAGGCGTGTCACTCGGGATGGGCTTTGAGGTTTCAAAACGCTCATACAATTCCCAGTGTCCCCTTTCTGACTTCTGTTTGCAGATCAAGGTGTGAGGTCTCAGCTATTCTTTCCACCATGCTCTTGTTATGCCATTATGGACTCCAACCCTCTGAACCCATAAGCCTATAAAGCCTAAATGCTTTCTATTATAGGTTGCCGGTCATGGTGTTATCACAGCAATAGAAAAGTAACTAATATACCTGGTATACCAAGAGTATATCATAAAAGAGTTTTTGTTTGGTTGGTTGTTTTTTGTTTTTTGTTTTTTGTTTTTTTTTTTTTTGAGACAGGTTTCTCTGTAGCTTTAGAGCCTATTCTGGAATCCGCTCCATAGACCAGACTGGCCCCAGACTCACAAGGATACACCTGCCTCTGCCTCCCAAATACTGGAATTAAAGGCATACACCACCATTGCCAAGCTTTTAGCATCTATGTTTAACTAAAGAAGGTACAGAAAGTAAATGCAGTGCTCACATGTGAAGTCTCTTTTTAAAAATAAAATTATTTTTAAAGTGCAAATGAGACAGCAAACAGTTTACATACATGAAATGAGTAATAATCAATATAAATCTAGACCACTGAGAACAGCTGCTGACAGTGTCCATTAACCGACACCTTCAATTTTTTTTAGATCCATTCTATCCTCCCAAGTATTCAAAGATGTAAAAGACATTATCTTAACTTTTCAAAGACATCAGAAATAGATTAGGCCACTGCCATTTTTTGTTCATAAATTCAAAGAACAAAGAATAACCATTACCTCTTTATATCCCAATAATATTGCCAAATTAAGAATCATTTCTGAGCTGGGCATTTGTGGCACATGCCTTTAATCCCAGCACTCAGGAGGCAGAGGCAGGCGGATCTCTGTGAGTTCAAGGCCAGCCTGGTCTGCAAAGCTAGTTCCAGGACAGGCTCCAAAGCAATACAGAGAAACCCTGTCTTGAAAAACCAAAAAAAAAAAAAAAAAAAAAAAAAAGAACCAAATACAAGGACCAGAGTTCAGATCCCAGCACCCCAAGTAAGCTGTGTGTGGGCCCAGGCCCAAGCACAATTCCAGCAAGGTGGGGGGAGGGTAGACACAGGAGGATTGCCGGGAATTCTGGCTATCAGCCTAGACAAACGGAACCATGCAAAAGCTGGGTTGCCCATGCGAGGGCCCCTGAATCTAACCCTGGGTTGTGTTGTTGGCGATAGCAGTGTGGGGCCTTATGGGCTGCTGCCCTTGTAATGAATAGAAAGAGGCTGACAGAGGCACGGCCCAGTCCTTTATCTCTTCTTCCTTGCTAACGGGATCCTTCTAGACCTGTGTTGTGCTGTAACAGGAGACCCCGGTTCAATAAATGACTGGTGGAGGCGGCCTCTGCTGTGTGGTTTCAATGCATGATGGCATTACACAGAAAAGCCTTGGCTAGTGTACTGCCTGACCTGGAAGACTGGGTGAATTATAAACTACTCGGCAATGCTAAAATGGAGGGAACCTCTGTGGTAAGACTGAGAAGGTTCTTGTCTTCGTTCCCTTCCATTGCTGTGATAAAAATGCAGTGAATTCAGATCCGGAACCCAGGGACCCAGACACTGGCACAGTCCACTTCTAGGCTGGGGTCTTCCCATACCATAAAGACAATCCCTTACTGAGAGTCAGCCCTTCCCTCATTGAGTCTCTCCTCAGGTGATTCTAGATTGTAGCGTTGACAAGCAGAATTAAGCATCACCATAGCGTTGAAAGGATTTGTCATTTGCAGGTGCAGAACATGCAGGGTTTGAAGGAAGAGCCTGCTCCTTTGGCAGTTGTGTGTGAAGAGGAATTCTAGAGAGATATGTTACAGAGGGGAGTTCGGTCGGTCATGGATGAGACCGTTCCTCCTCAGTCATGTCTGGTAAGTCTTTTGAGTGACTTCCAAATTACCAAAGTCAAAGTCACCCTCTGATCATCTGACATTGGACACTTTAAGAAATAACTACGGGGTTTCGTTTTGCCTAGAGATGCCATAAATGTTCTGTTCTGCCATCTACTACCACACTGCTAACAGACCACATGGCTCTGAGTTCATCTTCTGACTGGATATAGTTTCCACAAGTACCATCACTGGGTCCTAAGGGGCCCATATAAAGTGCTATTGTGGATGCTGACTTTACAGACTTTACCAAACTTCCCCCAAGGATTTCAGTCATTTGAAAACTCGCAGACATACAACAGAGAAAGATTTCTTGTACCACATACTATCCAAGTGTGAACAGTGCTCTGCATCCTCCCATTTTGTCTGTTTTTTATTTCCTCGTTCTTTATTGCCAGTGTGAATTTAATGCCGACACAACAGGTACAACAGCAAAAGTTGCCATCATCTGTCCAAGGGCTCCATGCAAGGAGGGCATTCCACTGGACCAACCTTTGCGATGGGACTGAGGTAAACGGCAGAATTAGCTTATAATGACTAAGAGAGAAGGGTGTTCGGCACTGAGATTTAAAATGCAGAGCTTTGAAGAGTCCCAGGGGAGCATCCCACCATGGAGGGAAGGCTGGCAGCACGAATGTGTTGTATTCTTTGATGCTGCATTTGTTTAACACTGTCTACTTGCTCCATGCTCTGTACAATTCTAAAAACTAAAAGGAAAATTAAAATGTAGTACATGAAACTTAACTCTTGAGAGATACTAAGATAATCACTTCTAGTGCCCTCATCTTAATTTTAGAGCTCTTGCTCCAAATAAGGTCCATATATTAGTCTTCTTACTTTTCTAAATGTTTACTAACATGCCCATAGTGGAAGAAGAGGAAGAGGAGGAGGAAAACTTGGGATCGTACAAAACAGTATGGAAAAGCTTCCATCTAGCTCTCTGGCCTTTGGAAGGCAAGAATACTCACTGGAAGAATGTGGGAGGGAACATGAGTGCTGAACTCTATGTCAGCACACAGGTGAAATGCAGAAGCCCCATCCTCAGAATCTGTATCCCCAATAACCGGGTTCTTGGTAGCTATGAAATTCACTGTCTCTCTCTCACATTTCTTTTGTGAGTTTTTTGCTTGTTGTTTTTTGTTTGTTTGTTTGTTTGTTATTGTTTTTTTTTTTTGAGGAAAAAGGTCTTACTCTGCAGCACAGGCTGCCTTCAAAGTCACAGCAATCCTCCTGCCTCAGCCTCCTGTGTGTTAAAAACTTAACTTTTGGGGGTTATTCTTTACCAGCCTTGGAATTGTATCTTGGTCCCAGTGTTCATTAGCAATACATCATCTTAGAGCGGCCATTCCTGCTGGATGCTGTCCACCCTGAGAGATAATGAATATATTTTTAGTTTTCTTCTCAAGGCCAGCAAATTCTGGGAATGCCTTAATGTAATTTTCTTTGCTAAACTCCTCCTGGCATTTATTGAAAATGTCAAGGGGGGGAG